ATTATTGATTTCATTATAGCTACCTGTGTAGGAGTAGCAATTCCACCACAACTTCTTATATTCCCCTCGTCTGTTTGAAGACACAACTGTCTGCTCCTGCAAGCACTTGTATATACTGTAGGCTCTACGTGGTGAGGGTGGATACCTATACTGTATGGTCTCAATGATGGAGTGTGGAAGATTGTCTTGATTTGATGGCTTAAGATATCCAATGAAAGAGAGAGATGGGCATATAGCTAGAGAGCATAGGAAAATGGAACTTCCAATGTGGATGAAATGAGATGAGATGAGATGAGATGAGATGAGATGAAGCATTGGGTGCATCAAACAGCTGGCATTGGGCTTGTGGCTGTATGCGTGCAATTCCATTTGAGACCAAAGGCGGTTGCGTGGATGCAACACCAGGGCACGAGAGATTGGGATCCTGACTTTGAGCAAATTGTTTTGCCATACAAGCCATTGAGCAAATGCTCTAGACAGCAGCACAATATGGATGGTGCTTCGATTGGGTTTGATTGTCCTCCAAGAACACATGGGCACCATGTGAGAGGGAAACTTGCTGGGCAACCAATGATGGGGATGGGGTGCATGGAATGCTTGGTGCAAATGGGTTTGTGCATGATTAGGTGGCCCAATGGAAGATCAGAACCATTTGGGTACAACATTGGTTGCTCCTTATGATTCATGCTATTGGTAGTGCAATTTTTTGCACAATCTATTGGTTTACTTTTGGGTGGGTGTTGGTGAGGTCCAATGAGGTTTTGAGCTTGGGTGGCATCGCGAGAATGTCCTTGGCAATGTTGGGTGAATATTAGGAGCATGCTGAGCATGCCAGGTTTGGTACAACCTGACTTCATGTATATCTATGTGTGGGCAAGAAGGTTAGGGTGAAGAGAAGGTAGCCTTGGGAATGAGTAGTGGCCACACAGCCAATTCAGACCCTCAGTGTATCTAAGGCTGGATCATTCCATGGGCTTCATAAGATTCTTTGGAAGATTTCGTCATAGATGGGGGGATATGGAGCATAGATCTGAAGAGCCATTGGGTGAGAGCAGTGGAGATGAGCAGGATTGGTCCAATCGAACTTGTGGGATAGGATGTGAGCTCCCAAGTGACCCTGAGAATGAGGATGAGGCTTATTATGGGTATGGACGTCAAGAAGGCCATGCAAAACCCAATTCCAATCAGTCATCCAGGTCCAGTACTACTAAGCAAGTTTCTCAACTTTTGTTGGGCGTGGTGGGCGCATTGTGTTTCAAGATAATGATCTTCTCTCCATTTCATAAAGAATGTGGAGGGAGAAGCCCATTTCATAAAGAATGTGGAGGGAGAAGCCCAAAAAGTGCTACCTTTGAAACAATCAGAATGCTTATGGGCAAGGAAGGGTAGAGTTGGATCCAGAGGTTTTTTAAACAAGAAGAAAAGTTGCTTTTGTTTAGGAAACAGGAGCACAAGAACATATCTAGACTATAACCATGGAAACTCTGACTAAACAGGACAAAATCTAAGAAAAACACCACAAAAGCACGTGAAAACCACACCCGCATAACGTCGAGCTCTCTATTTTTTCCTCCCAGCCCTGCTCTCTATAGGGCTTCGCATTGATGCACGATACCCGAAACACATTTCAACACAACCA